TGAGCCAGCACTCCTGAAGAGAAGCACCAACAGCCAACAACATCTTCAGGTATCTGGGAAATGCAAATGGAAACTATTCACAGATTCCATTTCACCTTAGAATGGTCACCATCAAGAAAACAAACAAAACTGTGAATGCTAATGAGGATTTGAGGGGGGGGGGACACTTCTATGTTGATTGTGGAAATGTCAATTGGTCTGGGTGCCTAGTGGCCCAGTCAAGTTGACATAAAATTAACCAACTTTGACTGGAACTTCTGAGCTCTCTTCAGTCACCTTAATAGTACACTGTGACTTTTAAAAAAAGTGAGTACTCTTCTTGGCTTTGGAGTTTCTTGTTTCTCCTGTTACAGTCTCCCAACTCAAGATTTTAAATAAAAATCAGCACGGGCTTATTCTGTTTGTTTTCTGCTGTCTACTTTTTTCTCACAAGAAGATAAACTACCTAAGAAGATTCTTTCATTTCAAATGTTCAAAGAGGGCTTTGCAGGTAAAAGTGAGTTAGCAACATTTGCAAGGACTCAGGGTCCCCACCAGCAGTACAGATGGGATATTAGAAGAGTCCTCAGGCTCACCGCATCCAGTAGCAAGCAAGTGCTGCCTTTCCGTAGCATGGCTGAGGCTTCCAGGCTTGTTTAATATGCTGTAGATACCTGCGTGAAGAGTCAATGCACAGTTTAAAACACACACACACACACAGTCGGTGTTTTCAGGCCTTGGAACAAATCCAAAGTAACAGCTGGGGATTTTACCTCTCCTGTAGGACTCCTCCAATCCCTGAAACCAAATACCCCAGACTCCTATCACCATTCGTGTGAAGGCTCTGTGAGCAGGAGACTAGAATACAAGGAAATGAAAGGGACACATATGTTCTCATTTCTTTAAATGACTAACGGCTAGTTATCCAAACACACTTAAAACTAGGACCAAACAATAAAATTAAAATTTTCAGTTTACAGAATCAATCTTTTTTTCTTCCTTTCTTCTTTTCTTGTGTGTGTGTGTGTGTGTGTGTGTGTGTGTGTGTGTTGTGTGTTCAAGACAGGGTTTCTCTCTCTAACCCTGTCCTGGAACTCACTCTGTAGCCCAGGCTGACCTCAAACTCAGAGATCCACCTGCCTCTGCCTAGAGAGCACTGGGGTTAAAGGAGTGCACCATCGCCACCGGACCCAGAATCTTTCTTTCTTGCCAGGTGAAGGAGGCACTAGAAATCAGAGAATATGCCTCCATTTCTTTTTATTTAGAAAACTATAAAAAGCAAGGCCGTCTTTAGGAATGTGTCCCATGGTCTGGGTAACTCAGTTAAGGTAAATCCAATTCAATTTTTAATTCTGTAACATCATTCAGGCTATTCTAGATACTGAAAGAATTTATGTTCAAAGCAGTTCAACAAATTTGAGATCTTATCTAGAAGCAAAAGGCATATTCTTTTTTGAGATTATAATTTAATTACAGCATTTCTCCCTTCCCTCCTTCCAAATTCTTTTATATAACCCTCCTTCCCTCTTTTTCAAATTCATGGCTCTTTAGAAACTAAGTGTTATTGCCCATTATTTAAAGGGAATTGATTTTCAAATTTACTAACGAATGCCTGCCTAGTTGTTTGACATATAGTTTTTTTATTTTTTAATAAAGATCCAAGATAATGTTGCACTTTCCTTGAATAGACTGTTAGATACATTGTTTTGACTATAAGGCTACTTCTGACAATGGGAATGGAACTGAATACATCAGACTCAATTTAAATGACCTAGTACTATTTTAGAAAATATATATATATATTTTGGTTAAGTTATATGAATAACATAATGACAAGGATTCATGAGGAGACTTTTCCTACAAGAAATGTCAGGAGTAGCCCAAGTGAGGGCAAATACCGTTACCATCCACCATCATTGATCTAAATTCTTTTGCCGCTGGAGGTACAAAGAAGAAAGCTGTACTTGACCCTGATACAGCTGGGGTTTGGCTGTTGATGGCCATATATGTAAAGATGGTGCAAGATGTTTGATATCAGCTAACAAATATTTGAGGTAAATGGAGGCATCTTTATTTTAACCATTTTATTTGCATTCCTTATGCCTTTGCTTCCCTTTCAAACCTTATCCTCCCCAATACCTTTCAATGCTCCAACACTAAATCGGAGAGAAGGTAGGTTAGAAGGAAGAGGGGCAGCGTATGTTTCTTTACTACTTCCTGCTACTGAGAGATGTAGTTCCTTGGCAAGTCCAATCTTCCTTTCAGGGTATCTCCAACTTCTCATCAAACTGCATCAACAGCAACCAGGAGAAGCAGCAGCCTTCTTCTTCCTTGGACATCCCCCCCCCCCCATCCCTCTCCTGCCTCTGGCATTTATTCCCTCTCCAGGGTCCTCAGAATTAAACTATCTGCAGCTGGTAAAGATCATGCCCCTCTCAGAGCCGGCACGAGTCAGAGAGTCTGCTGCTGTGGACAATCTAAAGCAGCCCCATACTCCACATCTGGGATTAGAGAAAAAACCATGTTTACATAACATAACTGAGTTTTCAAAGACACCAAAACTTCCACTACAGATCAATAACCTGAGGTGAGGAAAGTCAGGATCCCAAGAGTTTTTTATTTGCAGCCGCATAATTCACAAGATAATATCTGGCCCTAATACCTAAGATGTGCTAATTTCAACTACTACTAAAATTTTAAAAACAAATTCTTTTTGTATTCCTAGCTTTATTCAAGAGCCCAACACATAGTAGGATTTTTGTCATAGTTAAATCAACAGGTGTGAGTTAGAACTCGGTCATTGTGAAGCTGTCATTTTGGCAGGGCAGTCACACTACTGATGGCAATAAAACCTTATGAGTAAGGGTCAATTCATATTAGAAGTTTATGGGGTAGGTCCCTCAGAATTACACCTGTTAGGATAATCCCTCACATCCTAAGTATTACATAAAACGCTCCAGTGGTTATTGTGTCGTTGAAAGCTGAGTTTATGCCTGTACTCATAGACAGTCTGGCTATAGCTGGACAACCTTTAATCTTTCTGGAAAATCAATGTTACATTCCTAAGCTTGTTTCTTCAAACTTAGTGCAAGACCAAATTTACACCATTTTATTTTCTGGGTTTTATGGAGTCTGAAAGGAGCAAGCTCAGTTTTTTGTTGTTGTTGTTTTTGTTTTTGAGACAGGGTTTCCTTGGCTGTCCTGGAACTCATTCTGCAGACCAGGCTGTCCTCGAACTCAGAGATCCCCTTGCCTCTGCCTCCTGAATGCTGGAATTAAAGGTGTATGCCACCACTGCCCGGCTCAGAGGAGATTTCTGAGAATAACCCCTGGGATGTTGTGACTTTCTCTCTTCTTAGGCCTTCAGATCCCCTGTAGCTCTGGCCCTGAATCTCTTCCTTTCCTCAGGAGAGTCAGCCACTGGTTTTTGGCAGCTGGGCAGTTCTGCAATGACAGCCAACCACTCACGCCAGGGACAACTGCAGGTGCAAGCATCCCTGCCTGATAAGACTGTTTATGAGGTGGCAGAAGAGACCTTATCTCTAGTGTTGTGTGATTATGCTATTTCTCTGGCAGTGCTGTTAGGCTTCCAACAGAGGAGAGAGGGAAGGCCAGCATGTCACCGTTTAGGGAGAGGAAGCACAGTTCCTTCAGAGGCCAGAACAAACCGAAGGGGGCGAACCCCCCAAACCGCACTCCAGTAGGAACAGCCTCTGGGACTCCAGATTCTTCAGGCCGTATCAGATGGGGTGGGGGTGGGGGGGCATGGGCATTTTCCAGCCAGAGGCCCAGGCTGGGGAAAATGGATGGCATCCCTGTGCGAGACAGATAGCTGTCAAATGTCCCTCTCCTAGCAGCACTGAGACCTCAAGGGAGAGCCCACACGCCTGGGCAGAACCTTCGAGGCTCCTCTACAAAGCCGTCCCAACCTCCCCAGCCTTCCCCTTACTCATTTTCCACTGATTTTTTTTTTTTTTTTTCTGTACGCCTATGACAAGCGGGAGAAACTAATCATAAAAACCTGATCATAAAATCCCTCCTATACTTGAAGAGAGCTATTAAATATTCACTCAGCTAAGGTCGGCTTGCATCCTCTTAAAACAAAAGGGGGCTCCCCAGCCTCGCCGTCCCCACCCCCCCCGGGACCAGCGCTGACCATCCTGAAAGTTGCCACTGCCCTATGTTGAGGGCGAAGTTAGCGAATCCGGAGCTGCGAGTCTCCACTTGGGGGAGGGGGCGACGGGCAGGGCTGGGTGGTGGTGGTGGTGACGGTGGGGGAGAGCGGCGAGAAGGAGGGACTAGAGGGAAGGACACTGGCCCCTGCTTCATCGAGGTCATCGCCCAAGCCGCCCGAGCGGCCGGTCAGGCTCGGGGCGGGAGGCTGGAGAGGGGCGGGCGCGGGCACCGCAGCAGCGGCGGGGTGCCAGGCTCCGTACCTGGCGGGCCGGGGCGCGCCTCGCAGGCCGGCGGCCGGGGCGCGGAGGGTGTGAGCGCGCGCGCCCCTCCGTGCTCGCCCAGCCTCGCGCGCGTCTCGGGGGGGAAAAAGAGGCCCCGGCGACGGGCGCCCCGGGAGCCCGCAGCTCGGTCCCGCCCGCCTGGAGGAGCTTTGTGCGGCCGCGGCGGCTCCGAGTCCCACCTGCTGGCGGCGGAGGGACGAGGAAGGGGAAGAAAAGAGGCGAGAGGAGGAGGAGGAGCGGAGCGAGGCGGCGCCAGCCCTGAGCTCCCGCCGGCGCCCACCTCCGGGGGCTCGGCGGTCCTGCACCGGCCTGCTCTGGTCCCCCCGGCCTCGCGCGGCCACACCGCGCCACCGCGGCCGCAGACACCCCCCGCCCCCCACCACCCCCGCCCCGGCTCTAGCCCGGCTACCGAGCGCGGTCGGGCCCGGCCACCACCGCCCCCGCCCCGAGAGCTCCGGCGACTTGGAGGCGAGCAGCGGGGAGAGGGGGCGCACGGCGTCGCCTCCATGTGTCGGGGAGTCGCCTCGGCGCCCCGGTCCCGCTGAGCCAGCCTCGGGCGTGCTGCGACCGGCCGGAGGGCGTGAGCCGGGAGGCGCGGCGAGCCCCGGAGCCGGCGACCAGCGAGCGAGCGAGTGAGCCAGCCAGCCAGCCCCGGAGCAAGCTCGGGGAGCAGACACCATGCCGGGCTGGAAGAAGAACATCCCCATCTGCCTGCAAGCGGAGGAGCAGGAGAGAGGTGAGCCTGGCGGCCGAGCCTGGGGGCCGGGGCCGGGCGCCCCCGGTGCCTCCCTGTCCCCCAGCTCCTCGAGACCTGTCCTCGCGCCGGCAAGGGAGGGGCGCTGCGCCCTCCGGGGGCCGCGCTCCAGGCACGGTGGCACCTTGCGAATTCCGTGAGGGGACTATGGGGGTCTTGCGGGGTGGGGTGGGGTGGTGGAGCGGAGGGGGCAAGGGAGCAGTGCTGTGGCAACTTTTCGCCTGGGGAAAGATTTTTTTTTTTCTTTCTTTCTTTTTCCCGGCGAGGACCTGGAGTGAACTCCGGCTTCTCCCGGGCCCGCTCGCACGTGGAGCTTGGGCTCCCGTCTGTGCGGTGGGCTCTTCGGGTGCTGGGGGTGGGGGAGGATCTTGCAGAGCTTTAAGTGACTTTTCAAACTTTCCTCCTCCTGCCGCGGCCGCCTTGGCGATGTCCCCGCCTCTGGCTGGGCTACGGTGGTGTTGCCAAAGCCCAAAGTTGCTGGAAATTCATAAAGGAGGAGGAGAAGGGGGGGGGGAGTGTGGGGGTGGGAAGGGGGCGCTGCCGTGGGGCTCTGGAGCGGGGGGTTGGGGGGGAGGGGAAGGGAGGAGAGGACTGTCCGCAGGCTGACGGCTCCCGGGCTGGTTGTGAGTGCCTGGGAGATGAGTTATGCTCCGGCGCAGTCCGGGCTTTCTAGTTCATACCGCAGGACTGCGGGCTTTTCATAATCACTGTCTATTTTCTTGGTGAGAGACGGCTCTCGGTGCCAGGTGGCTTTGCAGCCCTTTTGTGCTTCAGCCCGACGAGTGTGCTTGAGTGCTGTGGAGAGAGGAAAGTTGAAGGCCTTTCGCGCTCTAAAGGCTTGGTTGTGCTGTCTCTGGCGGTGTTTGGGTTGTGCAGAGGTTGGCCAGGAGTTCAGTTCTGTAACCTGGATATGATGTACTGAGCACACCAGAATTTCCTCCAGGGCCCCATGGGGCTGTGGGGTGCGCAGCTTCCAGAGGGATTTCTGGCTGTCAAGGTTCACCAGGGCTTGCTGTCTGCTGCTTCTACTCCAGCCCGCCCTGGCCTGGTCAAGGGAAATGCTTTAGAACTGAAGGGTTTTCGGGATGCAGGGTCTTCATGATTAACAGTGGATGCTGGAGGTTAAGCGGTGCCGCATGGGTGGGTGGTGAGGGAAACAGGAAGCCAATCTGGTGTACAAAATATATACATATATATATTTCCAAGAGAACTTGGTTCTGCAGCATGGGGAGCTGCTACAGATTGTGACTGGCCATGCTAAAACTTTCAGGCTTTTGAAATAATTCTTCCAGCGGAAGAACCAATGTACAGTTTCCAGTTTTTCTCTAGGTGGCACAGCGTGTCTTTGGTTGATAGCCCGTTTAATGACTCAGGGAATTTGTCCCCTTTCAAGCCACTTCCTTGTTAGGTTTGTGCATTCATCTCCAGTGCACTTATGGCACGTGACCGTGTCTTCCCCCCCCCCCCCTCCAGTGATACCCCTGCTTCAGAAATGCTCCTGCGTCTCTCTTCGATTAACCATATCTTAAAACATGCGAGTCCAGGTGCCAATAATTCATCACCAGGTAAAAGCACGGAAAGAAAGCCCTCTGTCAAGCCCAAGGCGTCTGTCCTATCAGCTAACCGCCGCAACGCGCCTGATGTTAAGTGCATCAGTTTGATTAAAAAAAAAAGAAAAAAAAAAAAAAAAGAAAAAAAATCACAGTGCTGCGGCCAGGTTTTATCAGAATGCTGAAGTGGGTAGATTTTTTTTTTTTTTTGGATTGTACCAAAATGTGCTTGCATGTCTTTTAGAAATATATGGTAACTTTGAAAGATGATCACCTAATCTGCTTGGTTGAGATAAGACCGGAATTCCTCCAGCACATAAAATCTGAGTCAGAAAAATTGGACTGCCTTAGCTCCTCCGACAGGAGACAGAGAATGTGTTTGACTTAGTTGCTGTTTTTCTTTCTTCTTTTTTTTAACGTTTCTTATTCCTTGCTTTTAAGATTTTTAAGATTTTTTTAAACAAGTGTTTGCAGAAGTATATACACACACACACACACGTATATAAGAAGTAATTTTTGAGGTCCTGTCTTATTGAGAATGTACAAATGCTTTTTAAATATTGCACACTGAACTGGAATTTGTGTTTCTGAATGTGTTGTGTGTTTGTAAGTGAATTGAGGTGCTCCCATGACTTTCAGTACATCTTTCGGGACACACTGCTTGAGCTTGGCTTATACCTTTTGCAAAATTTTACTGTAAAATATTGAGTAACTGATGTTTTCTGTTTGCACTTGGAGTAACATTTTGTAGAAATGTTCTGAGAGTCTTAAGTGATTCTGAGATTTTTAAGTGATTCAAATAATATTGAATTAGGAACTTTTGAAATGTGAACAGAAGGATTAAACTGTCAGGCCGGCCAGAAAAATAATGAAAATGGAAGGCATACATTTTTAATATTGTTTCAGGAAACAGTCAACCAAACGGCTCGTTTTTAGTGTCTGAGTATCAAGTCCTAAGGTGAGCTATGCCTACTGCCCTTTTCACACTTTCTCCTTAGTTTATATTTATCTCTCTAAAATCCATCATGGAGACTGGTACAGCTTTTTCATGTGAATTTTACTTATTTAACTCTTTTGTTGATTATAACCCAAATTAATAAGAAAGTCTAGCTTTTTCGAGGTCCACATGCGTGAACAAGTGTATATCTTAGCATTATTCTTTTAAAATGCTAGCTTTAGTTCACAGATGGCTGGGAGGAGCTGGAGGAGATGGCTTAGTCAGCATCTTTGCAATGGTGAGGATCTGAGTTCTAATCCCCAAAGCCCATGTAAAAAAATCCAGGTGCATGTGTGCATGCCAGCTACGCTAGTGCTGGGAAAGTGGAGACAGGTGGGTTACTAGATCTTGCTAGACAGCCAGTTCAGCCTAGTTGGTGAGGTCTGGGTTCTGTGAGAGGCCCTGTTCCAAAAATAAGGCAGGGGAGCAATTGAGGGATGGCGATGCCTCAATGCACACGAAAGGTTTGGGAGGCATACTTTCTTGGTATTATCTCATACTCAAAAAAATGTTTTGGCTAATCTATGTAATTTCGTGTCATACCTACATGCCATTCATAAGTTAGGCTTGTCTCGAAGGCCTGTGTAGACACAATATTGACTGAGCTACTGCTTCTGCGTGCAGGGTTGAGCGGAGAAACCGAAACATCTGGGTTGTTGCAGAAAAGTGCAGCCACTTCCAAGATGACATGTTCAGACTCACCCATGTGAGGTGGCACCCTATTAAAGTTCAGAGCACATGTCTCTGCCCTCCCTCCTCCTTAATCTTCCCATAAACCCAGTCCATTTAGAAGCCACAGGTACACCTTGGGGTAACTGTTTTAGGAGAACTGGAAAGAGTGTGACGTTTTTCTGTAATATCCCTTCCAATCAAGTTAAATCAAGCTGTTCACTGGTTGGTTTACAGCTGCTTCTTAGCTGCTGTGGCAGGAAGGTCGTTACGGAGAAGACTCTCAGCACTAAGGAATTTGCACCTCTGTAATTAACAGTGCCTTTCTGTTACCTTGTGGCTGTCCTTCTGACATGTGGGGCTTTGGTTAGTGAATGTTTATTATAGTTTAACAATGTGTAGTGAGCATTCAAAATCAGGTGTGTTGCTTAGGAAGACTGGCATCTTTCTACCATAAACACACCCCTTGCTAGTTTATTTTGCGGAAATAAAATAACATTTGTTGGCATTTTCTTTAAATTTGAAATTTAGGCTTACTAGAATAAGTGGATATTATCCACTTCTAAAGATGCTCTAACTGCATTTTATTTTGCCATATATGCTCACCAGGAAGAAAGGCATTTTTTTTAATATTCCTTCACACCTTTGCCTTTTAAATTTTTCTTATACGTTTTGGAGGTCTGCATATGAACAACTTAGTCTTTTTTTTTTTTTTAACAGAAGTTTCTGTCTAGGGTTTCTGTGTGTATTTTGGCAAACAAGAGCTGTAGATGCTTTTACATGTCATTAGATTTGATAAAGCATTGATGAGAAGGGGGAGAGGGTTAAAAAGTTTGCCTTTACTATACCTTTGGTCTGTTTTATTTCTGCAGCACACAGAGACCTGGTAATGTCACATCATGCCCCGTGTAATAAGATGCTGCCTGACATTTGAATTTTGGCTGGGGACATTTGTGTGGAAGAAGAGAAGAGAGTGAAGAAGTCTGCAGTGTGCTGTGTGTTGGATACTGTTAGATGCTGCCTCTGTGTGGCTTGGTGCAATTATGGGGTTCCAATTATACTTGTAATTGTAATATACTTGCTGGCAGATGAGGAACTTGTGGCTCAGAATCAACACATTGCTTCCAGTTGCAAGGTCAATACCATGGGTACTAATTTCAAAAATAGATAATTAAAAAAAGAAGTTAAGTTACAATTCCTTAGAGAAACTTTGTAGTATTTTATTAGCACAGTAACATCTTACACTATTTCTCTCAAACAATGCTGCTGGCAAATCTTTCATCATGAATTCATGAGGCAGCTTTTTTTTTAAGTTATTTATATGGTAAAGAAGTTGTAAGGTATATTTTGTGCTTTCTGTACGCTGACATTAGAACATAGACTTAATAACTTCAGTAGTAAAGATGGCAGCATGAATGCACTTATTTATTCATTCATGTTAGCTTTATTTATTTAGTGAGTGTGTGTTTGTTTGTGTGTGTGTGTGTATGTGAGATACCACAACATGGGCATGTCCAGTGGAGGACAACTGGTGCGAGTCAGTTCTCTGCTGGCATGTGAACATCAAGGGTCCAGCTCAGATGGTCAGGATGGTGACAGGTCTCATAACCTACAGAGATACCTCACAGGCTCCAATTTCATTTTTTTTTTTTTTTACAATTTAATTTAATTTCAGTTCATTTACTTACATCCCAAGGGTGACCCCTCCCTCCTCTCCTCCCAGTTCCCTTTTCCCCTGGTTGCCCCTTCCCCTCTCCCTTTTCCCC